GTTAAATTTTTCGTTATTGTAATTTTTCTATTTTTTAAATTTTAGATATGTATTTAGATTTTTCGACATCTTGAATTCTCGATTTTTCAATCTTTCGATTTTTGAAAATTTTCGATTTCTCGATTTTTCAGTTTTTGATTTTCCAACTTTTAGATGTTTCAAATTTTAGAGTTTGCAAATTTCACGAGTTTACAGTTGTTAATTTCGTCAATTTTTCGATTTGCAATTTTTCCTGTGGGTTTTTAATTTTCTTTATTTTTTTTAGTTTTCATTTTAATTATGTAACACTCCTAATAATTATAATTTTTAAAGTTGCTCACTTTTTCAGTTTTTCGTTTTTGGAATTTTTCAATTTTTCGGTGTTTGAATGTCACAGTTTTTGGACTTTACAATTTTCAAGATTCTATGATTTTTCGATTTTACAATTTTTGGATTTTCCATTTTTTCAATTCGAACGGTTTTTCTTCTTTCCCATTCTTCGATTCATTAATTTTTTTTTAGATTTTTAAGTTTCTCGGTTTTTAGTTTTTCATTGTTTCTATTTTTCATTTTTTCGAGTTTGTAAGTTTTCGAATAAACAAAATCGAAAAATTATAAAATAGAAAAATTGTAAAACTGAAAAAGTACAAAATGAAAGCTTCGAAATATAAAAAATTGGAAATCAAGAACTTAAAAAATCAAAGATTGAAAATGTAAAAAATTGAATAAACAAAAAATTATAAAATCCAAAGAAACATTGAAAAAATAAAGATAATGGAAAAATGAAAAATTGTGATATAAAATCAAGAAAATGAAAATTTCAAAATCGGGAAAATGAAAATATCGAAAATCTGAAAAATATAGAAATTGAAAAATTCCCAAAATTGCGATGTTTAAAATTGAGATAGCGAAAACTTAAAAATCGACAAATCGAAAAATTTTTTAAATTGGAAAATTGAGATATGAGAAATCGAAAATTCCAAAAATGGAAAAATTTAAACACATTAAAAAATTAAAATCGGGAAATCGAAACATAAAGATTATAGAAGGGAAAAATGAAAAATTTTAAAAATCGAAAATTTAAAATATATACTAAAAAAATCGAAAATGTTGAAAATCGAAAAACCAAGAAATCGAAATCGAAAACTTGAGACTTCAAAAGATCGAGAAATCGAAATAGGCCGAAATCGGAAAATTCAAAATTGAAATATTTACTTAAAAAAAAGATAAACGGAAAAATCGAAAAACTCAAAAAAATCGAGAAACCTAGATATGAGAAACGGAAAATTCCAAAAATCGAAAAATTGAAATACAGATTAAAAAGTTTAAAAAATCGTAAAAACAAATTCCATTCGATTTTCCGTTTTATCGATTTTGCAATTTTTTGTTTCTTCAATTTTTTCTAATTTTTTAATTTCCGATTTTTCAATTTTTCCAATTTTCTACTTTCCGAATAAACAAAATGGAACAGTTATAAAATAGAAAAATTGTAAAATTGAAAACTCAAAATGAAAAAACGCAAAAGTATAAAATGAAGGCTTCGAGAAATCTAAAAACTTGAGAAATTGAAGAAACGGAAAATTCAAAAATCGAAAGATTAAAAATTGAGAAACTTAAAGATCGAAAAATTGGGGTTAAAAACACGAAAATTATTGTAAAATCTAAATATTGAAAATTGGAAAATCGAGGAATTGAAAATGTGAAAAATTGAATAAACAAAAAATTGTGATATCAAATCCAGAAAATGAAAATTAAAAATTCGGGAAAATGGTATAAAAATAATGAAGAACTTGAAACAACATCATTACGCCGAATATGTTCATTGCGCTACACATAACCTCAATTGAGTCCTTAATGATTCTGTTAAGAATGTACCAGGAATTTCCGCATTTTATGATTTAATAAATGCTATATACGTTTATTTCAGTAAGAGTTTACCGAGATGGCAACAACAACAACAACATTGAGATGAAAGAAAATGATAAGTGTGTTATAAAAAAAACTTTAAAAAAGTTATGCCCCACCAGATGGTCATTGAGATTTGATTCTCTAATTGCCATTAGACATAATCTCTCAACAGTTATGAGCTGAAATTATTTTAACATCAAAAAAGAAAAGTGAAATAGATGACGGTAGCTCTTCGTAAAAAAATGGATTCATTTGAATTTGTTGCTCTATTAGTATTTCAATGCAAAATTTTAGAAAATGTTAATTTGGTCTCAAAACCTTTACAGAGCTCAAATATTACTTTAGATGAGGCTTGTAAATGGATGAAACATCTAAAAGACAAATTTCAAAGTATACGTGACAATTTTGAACAAATAATGGAGGAATCAAGGAAATGTGCTAATATCTGGAAAATTAACAATTCTTTTTCAAATGAAGGTATAAAAAAAGTAAAACTGTTTCATGACGAATTATGTGAAGATACCGTTTTCAAAGATCCCACTGAAAAATGTAAAACAACCGTTTTCTATCCTGCTCTTGATATTTTAAATATTCAAATTAAAGATATGTTTGAAAGCATGAAAAACGTCACAAACTATTTTTCTTTTCTGGAACCACAGGAAATGTTGAATAGTACAGACGAAGAATTTGTGGAGGCAGCATCAAAGTTGGCAAATAAATACGAAGAAGATATTTCTAGTGCAATCTGTGGGCAAATCGTTAGTTTTAAAAACATTGTTGTTGGTGAAATTATTCAGCAAAAAATAACTAAAATTACAGATATTGCTAAGTTTCTGTTTATGGACAATAATTCTTTAACGGCAGAAAGATCTTTTTCTAAATTAAAATTAATTAAATCATATTTGCGAAGCACGATGAGTCAAAAACGATTAACCAACTTAGCTGTATTGAGCGCAGTGGAAGTTAGCTACGCCACTGCCTGTTTATCACTCACAACTCTTAAACTGTCTGGAATGAAATCCAGGGACGAACTCACAATGAATGAAATTTATTATTAACGAAATTGAACACCCTGTATGTTTCATGTTGTCGCCATAAATCAACCATTGATACAATGTCTGTAAAAAATGCAGAAATACGTCGTTTCGGGTCTTTGCTTGGACTCTGCACCTACATCCACAAGGTATTATTAAAGTTGCATGTGCGAAAATGTTAAGGTTGTAATTTTCGAGAAATTATTGTTTTCCTGTAGACCAAATGATAAACACCCAGTTCACGTTATGTTAATAAACGGAAAATTAATTTAAAAGTCGTTTCATGACGCTGCTAAAACTGCTTTTGTGAAAAAATAAACAATACTAAGCTACGTGAAATTTCCAGTTTTTACTAGATATTTTTTCTCTCCATTTGAGATAAGAGAAAGGTTGGACACGGTGTGAACTAACTACTCACAATTGCAGCAAAAACTCTCAAGACAAAATCGTAGTAAAAATTTTATCGAAGCGCGGGACGTAAAATCAATGTACTTCCCAGAAGTGTTTTCTTCAATTCATTGTTCGAAAAAATACAATTTGCGCGTTCTTTTTTGGAAAAACCGCGCTTGTTGTCGTTGTTATTTGACATGTAATTGTTCCCAGTAACAATTAAATGAACTCGTACGTTTTCCACGCCACGAAGTTCATAATTAGCAACATAACATAATTAGTGTTAAGGCGCTCAACACATTATGCTATTCCGGGTTCGTTACTAACCGTTAGTGACGTCACTTAAAAAATTTCCTTACGTTGATAATCAGTAAACATCGTTTTTGTTGTTGAAGACGCGCACTCGGAACTGTCATCGACAACAAAAGAACGACTTTCTTTTCGAGGAAAAAATTAATTTGTTTTTAACCTTGACGATTTGATAACATTGACGGTAAAATTTAACCCGGTTATTACTATTATTATTAATTTCAGTTGTTCTGTGCTTTGTTTATAAGTCACTTCTATTTTTAAGTGTCGTACAACAGTAACGTTATTTTAGAAATAAGAACAACAACCTAAGTTGATTTATTATCTACTCCAGAAAGCTGATGAAGTCATCTTAATAAAGCTTCTGAAAATTCGCCTTGACTGTGTTTGTTGTGCTTCGGAGACGAAGAAAACTCTGTAATTTTAGAGATTGTTTATCCATGTGGCAAAAAATGCCATAGGTATTCTCAAGGGAAATTGGGTAAATTGCAGCGTTGACGGATGATACGATTTTTCTTTCTATTTTTGGTTTATGTAAATAAACATGTATCCGCCTGTTTTTCGTAAAGCAACTAATATTTCAACAATAAATTTGATCTCGCGTTAAAATCTGTCACAATCTGTCATTGACCTGATTAAATGAATTAATAAGCCGCAATTTTATTTCAAGTGTTTGATATTTCTCCTTTCTCGGTACTCTGGATTTTCCCAGAGCGACTTTGTATTTTAATTTAAAAACATTGTGTCTCGTTTGTGATTGGCGCCGCCATTATAGGGCAAATGTCAGACAATATCAATAACGTCGAATATAGTGAATCACAGAGACGGTTACAACGTAGCGCATGAGAGGTCGGACAGGTCATCAAAGACGAAACGAAAACTGTAAAGTGACTGCGTCAGCGCTCGTTGCTAAGCATAATTACTTGTGTTACTGCAACTACAAGTTTGTTTACCCGTAAAAACAATATTGACCTTGTCATTGTACTAATACGACGAAAAAGCAAAGCGCCTCCGCACTTAATGAAGTTATCAGTATGACACGCGCATTCACTGACGCTCAATTAAAAATAATATGGCCGCTTTGTATGCATAAAATGCATGACTTAATTTGAAATTCCGGTCGGTGAATTAGGTCAAGTTGGCCATTTTAGAGCAACCATTTACAAGATTCGATTAACGATTGTAAAAGACAAGCTTAAAAGTGTAAGTACCCAACTTTGATGTTTCTAAATTGTTAATCATATTATTGTAAATGCCACCGTCGTTAGTAAATATGATATATTTATATACTAAACGAAATCTGGTGCAACGTGAAAGTGGTTCCTAGAATGTGCATTTTGTAGTCTATTGGAAATCAGTTGACGATTTTTTCCCTTCCAGTTGTACCTGCACTGTAACAAAGGCAAAGAAGAGGTTTCCATGCTAGTTGCTGCCAAGACTTCTGGGGCCACCCCTCTGGTAATTGCTTGCAGAAATGGACACTACGACGTCGCCGAGTACCTCATCGAAAAATGTCACGCCGACATCGAACAACCCGGTTCAGGTATATTGTTGTAAATTTACCATTAGTTTAAGGCATCCCGGTCTTAGTCTAGTGGTTACGAGTCAGGAATGCGGACCGGACGTCGTGCGTTCGATTCCAAACCTGGTTTTTCGTTTTTTTTTTATTATTATTTTTTCTTTTTTTCTCTGTATTATGTATGTTTATGACGTCACAACAAACTTTTTATTGATAAAACTACCCCACTTTCTCGAAAAGGTGAGAATACACCCCTCTATTTAATTATCCTCATTGCTCGACAAGAAATTACCATGTGAAATGTTTTTAAAAGGGTAGAATTCTTTAGAGAAATATTGATGTTACAATTAAATTTCGCACTTCAATCTGATTAGGAATGAAAAACTCATCACACTTGAGATCGGGGCGGGTGGGTGGGGCCTAATCTTTTTTTTTTTTAATAGAGTTTTCTTTCAACACAGGAAGGTTAAACATATTTTCAGTTTCTTGTTGGGAAAAGAAGACTTCGTACATTAAGAAAAAATGGACAAAATATAAGCCCCGCCCACCCACCCCTTCTCAATTGTAACGAATGCTTTATGCATCGTGAGCTGAAGGGCGGAGTTTAGTTGCAAAATCCTCATTTCTTTATAAGAAATTACCATATGAAATCTGTTTATAGAAGGATAGAATTTTTTACAGAAATATTGATGTTACAATTAAACTCCGCCCTTCGATCTGATTAGGACCGGATTTAGGACTAAACTCCGCCCCTCAGCTCACGGTGAATAAAACATTCATCACATTGAGAAGGGGCGGGTGGGTGGGGCTTTAATCTTTGTTTTTTTTTAATATATAGAATTTTTGTTAATTCAGGATAGTTAAACATGTTTTCAGTTTCTTGTTGGGAAAAGAAGACTTCGTACATTAAGAGAAAAAGGACAAAATATAAGCCCCGCCCACCCACCCCTTCTCAATTGTGATGAATGCGGATAGGGCAGAAGAACTGATCATTTACTTATCTTACACTAATACACATGTATACAAAAAATTATTAAAATATTCTGACTAGTACTGGGTGTTCAGATTTCCATGTCACTTAGTATATATGTATTGTTTAAATTTTCTGTTTTTTCAATTTTTCAGTTTCTTGCTTTACGAGTTTTCCATTTTTATTTCATCCAAGTTTTCGATTTACAATTATTCGATTTGACGATGTTTCTGTTTGCAATTTTTCAATTTTTTTCCGTTATTACATTTTTCGATTTTTTAGTTTTTCGGTTTTGTATTGCAATTTTTAAGTTTTAAATTTTTTGACTTTTCAACATTTTAATCTTTCAGTATTTCGATTTGTCAGTTTTTTATTGTTTTGAACCTTTCAATTTTAGATTTTACGATTTTACTGTTTTAGATTTTTCAGTTTTATAATTTTCAAATTTTACGATTTCTCACTCCATATTTCAATTTTCTAGTTTTTTGATGTTGATTTGCAATTTTTTAATTTTGATTTTTAAAACTTTCAGTTTTCACTTTTGAATTTTTAAATTTTTCGATTTTTCGATTATTGGAAATTCAAATTTTCTGTTTTTTTCGATTTTTCGATTATTGCAAAATCCACATTTCTCGACAAGAAATTATCATATGACATATGTTTTTAAAAGGGTAGAATTCTTTGGAGAAATATTGATGTTACAATTAAGCTCCGCCCTTCGGTCTGATTAGGGATGAAAAACTCAACCTCTTGAGATCGGGGCGAGTGGGTGGGGTTTAATTTTTTTTTAATGTGCAGAGTTTTCTTTTAACAACAGGATAGTTAAAGATATTTTCAGTTTCTTGTTGGGAAAAGTAGACTTCGTACTTTAAGAACAAATGGGCAAAATATAAGCCCCGCCCACCCACCCCTTCTCAATTGTGATGAATGCTTTATTCATCATGAGCGGAAGGGCGGAGTTTAGTTGCAAAATCCTTATTTCTCTACAAGAAATTACGATATGAAATATATTTTGGGATGGGTAGAATTTTCTAGAAAAATATTGATGTTACAATTAGGCGGGTGGGTGGGGCTTAATATTTATTTTTTTTTTTAAATATACATATAGATTTTTCTTTCAACAATACAATAGTTAAACATATTCTCAGTTTCTTGTCGGGAAAAAAAACTTCTAAATTAAGAAAACATGGACAAAATACAAGCCCCGCCCACCCACCCTTTCTCAATTGTGATGAATGCTTTATTCATCGTGAGCTGGAGGGCGGAGTTTAGTTGCAAAATCCTCATTTCTGGACAAGAAATTACCATATGGAATAAATTTTTAAAAGGGTAGAATTTTCTAGAGAAATATTGATGTTACAATTAAACTCCGCCCCTCGTCTGATTAGGAATGAATAATTCATCACAATTGAGATCGGGGCGGGTGGGTGGGGCTTAATCTTTGTTTTTCTTTTTAATATATATATATAGTTTTCGTTCAACAACAGGATAGTTCAACATGTTTTCAGTTTCTTGTTGGAAAAATAAGACTTCTTATATTAAGAAAAAATGGACAAAATATAGGCCCCGCCCACCCGCCCCTTCTCAATTGTGACGAATGCTTTATGCATCGTGAGCTGAAGGGCGGAGTTTAGTTGCAAAAATTCTCATTTTTTTTACAAGAAATTATATGAAACATGTGTTTAAAAGGGTAGAATTTTTTTAGGGAAATATTGATATTACAATTAAACTCCGCCCCTCGTCTGATTAGGAATGAAAAACTCATGACAATTGAGATCGTTTCCTAGTCTTATCCCATTTCTGAATTTCTCGATTTTTCAGTTTTTCAATTTTTCAATATGTAGATTTTTCACATTTTTTATTTTTTCAATTATTCGATTGTTTTAATTTCCGATTTTTCGACGTGTCGATTTTTCAGATTTTACATGTTACAGTTTTGGGATTTTCCAGTTTTTCTTCGATTTTTCAATACTTGGATACTTCAGTTTTGGAATTTCTCAATTTTTAGATTTTTCGATTTTAATCTTCTCAATTTTTCGATTTTACATTTTCCAATTTTTTCGGATTTATAAATTTCAGATTTTTCAAGTTTTTAATGCTTCGATTTCAAGAGCTTTCGATTTCTCTACTTCTCGGTTGTAGATTTTTCGGTTTTTCAATTTTTTTATTTTGTCCATTTTTGATTCTTCAATTTTTCAGTTTTTCAATTTCCAATTTTTCTATTTCTGGTTTCATCGAGATTTCGACTTTCCGATAATTTTTCAATTGTTAATTTTCGCTTTTGGGCTATTTTTATTTTGTGATTCTTCAATTTTTCGTTTTTCCAATTTTTCGATGTTTCCGTTTTTCAATTTTGGGACTCTCCAGTTTTTCGTCATTTCAGTTTTGGAATTTTTAATTCCAATTTTTCGATTTTTTGAAAATCTGAAAAATCAAGAGAAATTGTAAAATCTAAAATTAAAAAAAAAACGAAAAATTCGCAAATCCAGAAATTTTTGGGATTTTACTAATTTTCAATTTCTCGATATCTCAGTTTTTCGGTTTTTAAAATTTTTCAACTCGAGTTTTCTATTTCTCGATTTATCGGATTTTGACGTTTCAATTATTCCATTGTTGAATTTCCCGAATATTCGACTTCCCGATTTTTCTATTTCTCGACTTCCCGATCGTTTCATGTTTCGACTTCCCGATGTTTCAATTTTTCATTCTCGCTATTTCCATTTTTGGATTTCTTTTTGATTTTTCGGATTTTCGATTTTTTTAATTTTCCGATATTTCGATTTTTCAATTTTTCAATTTTCAATTTTTCTATTTCTGGTTTCATTGAGATTTCGACGTTCCGATTATTATTCGACTATTCAGTTTCTCGATTTTTCATTTTTCGATTTTTTGGTTTATTTATATTTAAAATTTTTTCGATTTTGGCCATTTTTGTTTTGTGATTCTTCGGCTTTTCGATTTTTCAACTTTTCGTTTTTCCAATTTTTCGATGTTTCCGTTTTTCAATTTTGGGACTTTCCAGTTTTTATTCATTTCAGTTTTGAAATTTTTAATTCCTCGATTTTTTGAAAAACTGAAAAATCAAGAGAAATTGTAAAATCTAAAATTTGAAAAAACGAAAAATTCGGAAATCCAGAAAATTTTCGATTTTACAAATTTTCAATTTCTCGATATCTCATTTTGTCGGTTTTTAAAATTTTTCGACCCTTAGATTTTTCGAGTTCTCGATTTTTCAAGTTTTCTATTTCTCGATTTATCGGATTTTAACGTTTCAATTATTCCATTGTTGAATTTCCCGAATATCCGACTTCCCAATGTTTCAATTTTTCACCTTCTCGCCATTTCCATTCTTGGATTTCTTTTTGATTTTTCGGCTTTTCGATTTTTTTAATTTTTCGATATTTCGATTTTTCAGTTTTCAATTTTTCTATTTCTGATTTCATCGAGATTTCGACGTTCCGATTATTATTCGACTGTTCAATTTCCCGATTTTTCAATTTTTCGATTTTTTGGTTTATTTATATATAAAATTTTTCAATTGTTAATTTTTCGCTTTTGGGGTATTTTTATTTTGTGATTCTTCGGCTTTTCGATATTTAAACCTTCGTTTTTCCAATTTTTCGATGTTTCCGTATTTCAATTTTGGGACTTTCCAGTTTTTATTCATTTCAGTTTTGGAAGTTTTAATTCCTCGATTTTTTGAAAAACTGAAAAATCAAGAGAAATTGTAAAATCTAAAATTTGAAAAAACGAAAAATTCGGAAATCCAGAAAATTTTCGATTTTACTAATTTTCAATTTCTCGATATCTCAGTTTTTCGGTTTTTAAAATTTTTCGACTCTTAGATTTTTCTATTTCTCGATTTATCGGATTTTGACGTTTCAATTATTCCATTGTTGAATTTCCCGAATATCCGACTTCCCAATGTTTCAGTTTTTCACCTTCTCGCCATTTCTATTTTTGGATTTCTTTTTGATTTTTCGGATTTTGGATTTTTTTATTTTTTCAATATTTCGATTTTTCAGTTTTTCAATTTTCAATTTTTCTATTTCTGGTTTCATCGAGGTTTCGATGTTCAATGTCTCAACTTTTCAATTTTTCGGGTCATTTTATATTTAAAATTTATATGAAAAATTAATTTTTCGCTTTTGGGCTATTTTTATTTTGTGATTCTTCAATTTTTCGTTTTTCCAATTTTTCGATATTTCCGTTTTTCAATTTTGGGACTTTCCAATTTGTCGTCATTTCAGTTTTGGAATTTTTAATTACAATTTTTTGAAAATCTGAAAAATCAAGAGAAATTGTAAAATCTAAAATTTGAAAAAACGAAAAATTCGAAAATCCAGAAATTTTTCGGTTTTACTGATTTTCAATTTTTCGAAATCTCATTTTTTCGGATTTTAAAATTTTTCATCTCTTAGATTTTTCGAGTTCTCAATTTTTCAAGTTTTCTATTTCTCGATTTATCGGATTTTGACGTTTCGATTATTCCATTGTTGAATTTCCCGAATATCCGACTTCCCAATGTTTCAATTTTTCACCTTCTCGCCATTTCCATTTTTGGATTTCTTTTTGATTTTTCGGCTTTTCGATTTTTTTAATTTTTCGATATTTCGATTTTTCAGTTTTTCAGTTTTCAATTTTTCTATTTCTGATTTCGTCGAGATTTCGACGTTCCGATTATTATTCGACTGTTCAATTTCTCGATTTTTCAATTTTTCGACTTTTTGGTTTATTTATATTTAAAATTTTTCAGTTATTAATTTTTCGCTTTTGGCTATTTTTATTTTGTGATTCTTAGGCTTTTCGATTTTTCAACTTTTCGTTTTTCCAATTTTTCGATGTTTCCGTTTTTCAATTTTGGGACTTTCCAGTTTTTCGTCAATTCAGTCTTGGAATTTTTAATTCCTCGATTTTTCAATTTTTCGATTTTTTGAAAAACTAAAAATGAAGAGAAATTGTAAAATCTAAAATTAAAAAAACGAAAAATTGGAAAATCCAGAAATTTTTTGATTTTACTAATTTTCAATTTCTCTATATCTCATTTTTTCTGTTTTAAAATTTTGCGTCTCTTAGTTCTCGATTTTTCAAGTTTTCTATTTCTCGATTTATCGGATTTTGACGTTTTCGATGTTTCAGTTGTTCACCTTCTCACTGTTTCCATTTTTGAATTTCTTTTTGATTTTTCGGCTTTACGATTTTTTTAATTTTTCGATATTTCGATTTTTCAGTTTTTGGATTTCCCGATTTTTTGTAATTTTAGTTTCAGATTCAATTATTTCAATATTAAATTTAATATTTTTCGATTTCTCGTTTTTTTGATTTCCTTATTTTTCAGTCTTTTAAAAATGTCAATTTTTCGAATTTTCGGCTTTTAACTTTTTCAATTCCTCGATTTTTCAAGTTCCCGATATATTGTTTTTTCGGGAAGCATTTTTGACTTCCCGAGTGTAAGCTAAGGAAGTATAGTGATCGAGTCCACCGGGCGACTGCCAGTTTCAAGTTTTCTCGACGTTTCATGACCCCCAGAGTACGAAAAAAGTAATCTTCCGTTTGCGTCTGTCCATTTGCCTATCATCCGTGTCGATTTTTAGTAGACACGTAATCTCCGAAACTACTGGATCGATTGTTGCCAAATTTGATATGTATATTAGGTAGATGATTTTGATTATTATTAATATATTTGTTTATTGTTTAATCCCCCTCAACCGACTTAAGGTGGCGTGGCACAGTGGTAATGTTTACAACCCATTTGATAAAATAAGTTTAAAATTTAAATTAATTACTTTCTAATTTATTATAGTCAATCTAAAAATTGAAACCGCGTGAAATTGCAAATCGAAAAACTGCAAAATCTAAAAATTTAATGAGTTACATATAGTTAAATTTAAAAAACAAAAAATTGTAAAATCGGAACATTGAAAAATTGTAAAAGTAACGAAAATAAAAACTGAAACGAAAAATTGCACATGGAAAAATTAAAAATTGAAAACTCGAGGAACTCAAATCGAAAAATTGCAAAATCTAGAAATTGAGTTGAAAAGTTGAAAAATTGAAACTTGAAAAAAAAAATAATTTTTCGGAGAAGTGCGATTTATTTGACTGCACTTCAGGGGCGAGGGAAGTTCTGTTGAAATATCTTTGACGTCGCGGTTAGCATGCTATGCACTACAATTTTCTAACAAAACGTTGCTTTCAGTGATGTTCGACGGCGAGACCATCGAAGGAGCGCCGCCCCTGTGGTGCGCCGCCGCCGCCGGCCACCTCGACATAGTGAAATTGTTGATCTCGCACGGAGCGAAAGTGAACAGTACGACGCGAACGAACTCGACGCCCTTGCGCGCCGCCTGCTTCGACGGCCACCTGGAGATCGTCAAGTACCTGGTGCAGCACGGCGCCGACATCGAAGTGGCCAACAGGCACGGCCACTCGTGCCTGATGATAGCGTGCTACAAGGGCCACATTCGGATCGCCAAATATTTGCTTAGTTTAAAGGCTAGTGTTAATAGGAAAAGTGTTAAAGGCAATACGGCCCTGCATGACTGCGCTGAATCGGGGAGCCTTGAGATACTTAAATTATTAATAGAAAATGGGGCGACTATGGACGTCGATTCGTACGGTAGGTGGAATCGACTTTGCGCGTTTTTTGTTAAAAGATTTTTTTTTTTTTGTATAGGGATGACGCCACTGTTGGCCGCCGCGGTCACCGGACATAATCATATTGTAGAATATTTAATTAAACTTCCGCATCTAGTGTCGAAGAAGGAGAAGATTGATGCGTTGGAACTGCTAGGAGCTACCTGTGTTGATAAGAAACGTGATATGGTGGGAGCTTTAGAGGTGTGGAAACGCGCGATGCATTATAGGTAAGGGGAGATAAGCAAGAGGAAAACATATACGTAAAAAAAAACAAAAACAACATTGTGTAAAAAACTGACAGTCATGAAATATAGATTAAGTATACTTGGTATAAATACAGCTTGGGGTCAATCTGAACTTTCAAAGTGGGTTATCAAACGAACAAATATTTAAGTCGGGATTAACATTAATCTTGCGAATTTGGTTTAAGGTAATTCACCATTGAACCACTATTGAGACTTCCCAGATTTTTACTGAATGAAAAGTTCTAAAACCTTGTATTGTAGCCACAAACTTGTTTACATTTCAACATTTAAGTGTACCTAAAACAAAAAAAAAGTATGGTGGGTGTGTATGTTTTTTTCCTAAATCATATATCAAGGATCTTTTTTATGGAAAAAGTATCGTTCTGCATTGTGTTGATAAGTTTTTGTCGACTAGAATAATTCCGTTGAAGTTTTATTTATTAAAACTAATTGGCAAAATTTATAAGTCAAGACGAAGCTTGATAAATTATGCACACTTTACTGAATTTAAAGTCCATCTTCGCCCACTTTCAGTGTGGCAGTGACTGGAAGCTTTCAAGGGGGTCGTTGTACCCTAGAATGAGGAGTGGATTGAAAACCGTTAATTTCTATAGGTTTTTTTATTCGCACTTGTGTTAAAATTTAACGAATTAATTAATAAATGTACGTCTAACTGGAAAAAGTCTCAATTTATAAAAGTAATCGAGGAGTTTCTCGCTATGTAAACTTGCTATTAATAGTCAACTGCTCAATAAAGTAACATGTTTGTTTATCTTCCGGGATATAGGGAAAAATAAACCTCCGATATGTTACAAGTGGAAACATGGTGTTTCCGTGGTCGTATAACATGAGTGTAATTTTAAAATAGACGAGACCGTAAGTGAAAGATTTCAGTTTTATTAAGTACGACGTTATGTAATTACGAGGTTTCGAATATAGTTTTCAAAGTAAGGTTAATGGCGATACCAAATTTTTGCTTGAACTTATGTCAAATCAAATATATTATAAGATAACAATCTATTTTTTAACATTCTGTGGTAGTATTGACAATTTTCGTAGTAGCGCCATCTGCCAGGAATCACCCAAACTTGACATGGTTATTAACACCACTCTTACTTTTGCCCTTAATTTTTATTTTATTTCTGCGGTGTAAGACTGACATTTACAGTTTCGGTATCAGTGGAGGGTAAAAGAGGTCATTTTATAGACGATAAACACATTTTTTATCAATAATTTAGCTTCTTAGGGACAACATTGAAGACCTGCACATGCTCGCTGCGCTCGCATTCTAGCTGTTCTTTTTTTGCAATTCAGTCTCATAGAAGTGATTAAAAAAGAATCTCGGCGAAGCTCTCTACGTTTTATTGGAATAATAAATCTCTAGACTCATTAGTCTTATGGCTTTTAAAAAACAAATGTCTAGAATGCGAGCGCAGCGAGCACGTTCAGGATGTTTCAGTCCCACAGATATTAGTGATCACAACAAACAATCTTTAAACTGACATTTTAAAATTGTTCCAATAATTTAGCTTCTCGGGAGTACTAATAAATATTTTTTTAAATTACACCTGAACGTGCTCGCTGCGCTCGCATTTTAAGCGTGTTTTTTTCAGCTGTACTCTCATTCTATTGTAAGAATAAATTTCTAGATTTAAAAAAACACTTACCCGTAGAAACATTTTAAGAGTCACCTTTTTTAGACAATAGAAAAATTCATGTATTAATAATTCAGTTTCTCAGGGAGAATAACCAGTAATTTTTAATAACACCTAACCTTGCTCGCTGCGCTCGCATTCTTATCGTGGGGTTTCAAAATAAGAATGTTTACGAACGAATCATCAGTGAGGGTACTTAGGTTTGTTTTATTATTATAATCCTATATGAAGATATAATATATTAGATAGTATATGAAATTTTCTGTGGGTTCAAATTTATACAGGGGGATAAAAAAAAATGACGTGTAAGCTCGACGGTAACTTCGTAATTCTGATTTGTTTTAAGCTGTATGTCTAAAGAGAGTTAAATAATTAGTTATTAACATGTCATACACAACGCCATTTTTTACTGTTGACAGGTGTCATTTTTGACAATTTTATCGGAATTTTAGATTGTCAATTAACCTCATATTAAAACATGTCAGATTTATGAAGCTAATTCTTCAATTTTGAAGTTTCATATTTTCAAAAATTTGGTTCAAGAGTTTTTTTGGCCATTTTTTTTTAATTTTTCAGATCCTTCTTAACTTTTTCGTTATATATCTTCAAAAGAATTATACTTTGGCAATAATGCAACCGATCAGAATTGTTTTTATATTTTGTTGAACCTCTGTTAATCCGAATTGTAAAACTGTGTCGATATTTCTTTGAAAAAGTGTTTTGTGTCAAATTCGACAAGACTGAGATTCAAACATAGTCTTTAACAAAGTTTAAGATACAAAATTAAAATCCTAATCAGTTTTTGTATATACATATATATTTTTTTGGTTGTGGAATATTTGTATCCAATTTTGATTCTGAATGAATTTTAAAAAATTGGTCTAAAGAGTTTAGACAGTACTTCCCTCGCTGTCGGAAACTTGACGACTGCATGCCTATTGTGTTTTTTTTCTCATTACATTTTTGTAGTGGGAATTTAAAAAAAAATTGCGATGACGTCATCAACATTTTTGCAAGGACACGTATATCAGTTGGGATAGATGTAGTGTAATACTAAGAATAAAATTATTATATTCTCAAATTTTCGGGAAAATGAATTGGGTCGTTTGAATATTGATTTGTAATAATCAATAAAATAACGAAACAATTTACTCACGTATACCTACGTATCAGAGGCAACTGAAAATCGTGTATGTATAAACATTGTTAATTTAAGATGACAGGCGTAACAGCATACGTGAGAGCCAAACACAGAAACTGTAAACAAAACGACCGTCGGTTTTATTGCTTCGACTTCCGCTTATTATATAAAACATTGGGTTTTATTTTAATTCTTGACGGTGAAATTCACAATTGGTTGATTATAAACATGTCTATTTCACATTCGCGGAATCAAGTGAACGGGTAAAACAAATGCAGGTCTGTAATGTTAAAGTCGATGTAAATAAGCGTGCTACCCTTATGTTTCAACCGAGTTTTTCCTTTAACAAATTTTGTGTCTACCAAATTGGGTTGGTTGGGGTGTAATACTAATAATAAGTGTTGCCTTTAATTTAATCAATAAAATAAATTGACTTCATTAATTTTTTTGAACCACCTCTTAAGAAAATCTAAAAAATATGAATGGAATGATAAATCACAAGTACAAACTCATCGTATTTTTTGCATTTTAGATAGGATTTATTCAGCAAAATTTAAGGGTGACGTCATCAATTTTTTTAGGAGGGATGAACAAATACATTTTGAACAAAAGTTTACCATGCTTATAATAACTTTAAAATATTCCCAAGATTTCAAAGCATTCGGTTTTGTAATTCCTGATTAAATCGATAAAATAAATTCACGCCTTCATTAATTTTTTTGAGTCACCCTGCATATGCAAATCCAAAAATATGAATGGAATGATAAATCACAAGTACAGACTCATCATATTTTGTACATTTTAGATACGATTTATTCGGAAAACTTTTGAGCTGACGTCATCAGTTTTTTGTAGAAGATAACCAAATATATTTTGACTAAAAATTTATTATGCTCTTTATAACCTTAAAACATCTGCAAGATTTCAAAGCATTCGGTTTTGTAGTTCCTGATTAAATCAATAAAATAAATTTACGCATTCATTAATTTTTTTGAGTCACTCTGTATATGCAAATCCAAAAAATATGAATGGAGTGATAAATGACAAGTACAGGCTCATCATATTTTGTACATTTTAGATATGATTTATTCGGCAAACTTTCGAGCTGACGTCATCAAGTTTTTGGAGGGGATAAGCAAATATATTTTGACTAAACATTTATTATGCTCTTTATGACCTTAAAACATCTGCAAGATTTCAGAGCATTCGGTTTTGTAGTTCCTGATTAAATCAATAAAATATATTTACGCATTCATTAATTTTTTTGAGTCACCCTGTATATGCAAATCCAAAAAATATTAATGGAGTGATAGTTCACAAGTACAGACTCATCATATTTTGTACATTTTAGATATGATTTATTCCACAAACTTTTGAGCTGACGTCATCAAGTTTTTGGAGGGGATAAGCAAATATTTTTTTGACTAAAGATTTATGATGCTCTTTATAGCCTTAAAACATCTGCAACATTTCAAAGCATTCTGGTTAGCAGATTAAAAATTAAATTTCAAAATGTTGTTTTATAATTTTGATTTTTTTCCAAAAACCTGGACGTTTCGGGTGAAAAGTCGATTCAGAGTTGTAAACTACATGTGTAGGACTATGTTATTTTATACAATTGAAAACCCATTTACTATGTACAATTTTGAAGTGACGTCATCGCTTTAGTGGTGGGGATGATTCGACAAATTTTGGTTAGCGTTTTACCATCTACATGATATTCTTAATATAAGTACAAAATTTCACAACAATCGGTCGAGTACTTTCGGAGATTATCTGTCTAATAAAAATCCGTGACAACAGACGGACAGACGGACGGACAGACGGACAGACGGACAGACGGACAGACAGACGGAAATGGGAGACCTATTTCTTCGTCTTCTAGGGGTCATGAAAGATCGAGAAAACGTAAAAGTAGAGAGTCGGCCGACGGACTCGATTACAATACTTCCTTTGCTTACGCTCGGGAAGTAAAAAATCTTGGATTTTGTTTTTTATGGAGTTAAAAGGCGTCTTGGGGGCGCTTAGATACGTTATATTTTTGATAGAATTTAAAAAAGCTGGAGAACCTTTGTTCTGTTTTTGAAAAAATAATAAATTCTAGTCGATTGAGTTTACATTTACATTTTCTTTTGGTAATTTTATTGGACGAAAAGTGGAATCTATCTTGTCTTATTTTATTCATT